TGCAGCGTGCAGGCCTCTGTGTGCATGCATGCCCTACTCAAAGGTTATAGCTAGCACCAGGGCTTTTTTTTGTAGAAAAAGCCCAGCAGGAACTCATTAGCATAATAGGTCACACCCAACAACAGAAACTCATTAACGTATTAGGCCACATCCCTGACAGCAGTTTATTAGCATATTAAGCCACACCCATGCCTTCCCTTGGCTTGCCCGGGTGTCCCGTGGCTGTGAGGAGCCCGGGCAAGCCCCACCTTGAAGGGGCATTGAAGGCACGGGGAGGCATTTAAATGTCTACCCGATCCTTCCAGGGCCCCCTCTGGCCTGCCCACCTCGGAGTGGCCAGGGTGTGTGTGTCACTCTTCAAGCCTTCCCTCTATAGCCACGCATGCAGAGGTTTTGGCTGTAGTGGGCATGGCCAACTCTGAAGTCAGCCGGAACTCCATTCCTGTGCGTTCCTGCCCAAAAATAGCCCTGGCTAGCACACATGGATACCTGAGGGTGCTGGGGGTCAGACCCACATGTTCGGAAGGAGGACAAGAAAGGTGCAGGGTTGCTCCCTACCCCCCCATGCATAGGGAGAAAACCAGGGAGAGGATTGTCTGTTCAGCAAGCCTGTCTCTCCTGGAGCCGAGGAGGCCCGTTCTTTACCTGACACAGAATTCTATTCAAGAATTACCATTTCCCCCCCTCGCCTTCAGTGGATGAAAGGAACGGCTGTGGATCTGTCTCCCCCCCCAACACACCAACAAAGCTTGCACATGGCAAAACTTTCCCCGCATTTCTGTAACCACCTAATTACCGCTCCCATGCTGAGCGCCGCTGTGTATGAAGAGCAGCTCGGCGTTCTCGGGTTTTTTCTTGCCATCTTTCAAAAGAGAGCTTCTGATTTATGTCTCGTTGCTTTTCAAAGGCAGCTCACGCACCCAGCATGTCGTGCTTGCAAATAAGATTTCTGGAGGGCCGGGGGCTGCTTCTTACCCATCGCACCAGTGGCTCTTTCTCAGAGATGCTTGTCTGTGTCGGCGTGTTTTTTTTTACCAGGGTGATTTAGATCAGCTCTGGGGAAAGTAGTTTCTCCCCCCCCCCCCCCGCACACACACACACGATGGGAAAAATAAATCCGTCCTAGTTTTTAAGTATTAATTTCCTTTGCAATGATCTTCTGTCACTACATTGTGTGGAAGATGCCAGGAGATTGTATATAGCTCTGTCTTAGTTTCATATTCTAGTGATCTGATGCAAACAGCCTAGGAGCCCCCAAAGATTCTCAGGGGTGCATTGGCGTTCCTTGTATTGCATGCCCGCAACGACTTCCCATGCAAGGCACGGCTGCAGGGAATTTCTAGACGCGTACTGGGACGCAGCAGCAAGACCTGGCAGGCTTCGCAGGCATCCTGCATAAATTGATGGAAGACGGCTCGGAGTCCACTGCAGTGTGCAGCAGAGACGCATACAGTTCCTTGGCAGGCAAATCAGCAGGGAAAGGGATTCCTGAGCCCAGGAAATCTGAAAACCACTCTCTAAGTTGGGCCACTCGAGTATTTTGACAGTAAAATAATGAGGGTAAATGCTACGGGTAATACCATATATGCCCCAATGAACACAATCTTGCCGATGGGTCCTCCAAGAATTCAGAAAGAGATTGAGACTGGGAAGGGCAGCTATGAAGAAGCTAGAAAAGGTTCTTAAGTGTAAGCAGGGCTATTTTTGGGCAGGAACGCGCAGGAACGGAGTTCCGGCTGGCTCCCGAGTTGGCCACGCCCAGCAGGAACTCATTAGCATAATAGGCCACACCCAACAGCAGAAACTCATTAGGATTGGCTACATTAGGGGTGTGTGGCCTAACATGCAAAGGAGTTCCTGCTACAAAAGAAGGCCCTGGGTTTTGACAACAAACAAGGTCAACAGAATAAGAAGCAAAAGGTGGGTGTGGCTGGATAACCACTTCTGGTAACATGGGGGTGCGGCCTGATGTGCTAATGAGCTGTGCTGTCAGGGGTGTGTCCCAATATGCTAATGAGTTCCTGCTGCGCTTTTCCTGCAAAAAGAGCCCTGAGTGTAAGGATGTGTTGCTGGTGAGCAAGATCAAGATAATTCATCCCATAGTATTCCACATTAGAGAAGAACAGATTGGATTTATACCCCGCCCTTCACTACCCAAAGGAGTCTCAGAGCAGCTTACAAACTCCTTTCCCTCCCCCTCCCCACAGCAGAGACCCTGTGAGCAATGCTCCCTCTAAGCTGTGGCGTCTTGTGAGCGAGAATTCTACTTGGTGAGCGACTGGCATTAAAGTTGTGAGCGAGCGATTTGGCTGCTGCATAACTTAATTTGCTCTGGAGCCATCCGTCCTGAGCTAAGACAAAAAGAAGTGTGAGCTGGAGGCTAAAAGACTGTGAGCTAGCTCGCACTAACTCATCTTAGAGGGAACACTGCCTGTGAGGTAGGTGGGGCTGAAAGGGCTCTCTCTCGAGGACTGCCCTTGAGAGAACAGCTGTGAAAGAACTTTAAGACTGACCCAAGGTCACCCCAGCAGCTGCATGTGGGAGAGTGGGGAAATCAAGCCTGGTTCTCCTAGATTAGAGTCTGTGCTCCTAACCACTACACCAAACTGGTCCTCCAATACACTACTCTGTATGGGTGTGGGAGCTGGACAATGAAGAAGGCTGACAGGAAGAAAGAAGGTCCCTTTGAAATGTGGTGTTGGAGAGTTGTGTGGATACCGCGAGCCACCAAAAGCCTGACCCCTCCCTACAAGCTAAAATGTCTAAATTGAGGCTATTGGTCACATGACGAGAAGACAAGAGTCACTGGAGAAGACAGTAAAGCCAGGAAAAGAGGAAGGCCCAACATGAGATGGACTGGCTCCGTCAAGGGAGCCACAAAGGCCCTCAGTTCGCAAGACCTGAGCAAGGGTGTTATTGAGAGGATGTTTTGGAGGAGCTGCGGTGGCTCAAGTGGTTAAGATGCTGAACTGCAGGCTGTGGAAGGTCAGTAGTTCAGCAGTTCGAGACCCGGGTGTGCCGCGTGACGGAGTGAGCTCCCATCTCTAGTTCCAGCTCCTGCCAACCTAGCAGTTGGAAAGCAAGAAATTGCAAGTAGATAAATAGGTACCACTTTGGTGGGAAGGTAACAGCGTTCCGTGCGCCTTGGTGTTTAGTCATGCCGGCCACATGACCACGGAAACGTCTTCGGACAGCTCTGGCTCTTCGGCTTTGAAACGGCGATGAGCACCGCAACCCTAGAGTCGGATTAGACTGGCTTTCGAGCAAGGGAACCTTTACCTTTGGAGGACATGAATCCATAGGGATCACCATATTTTGGAAGCGATGGCACTTAACACACAAATACACACTATGGACACCATGTGGCTTTGGCTCAGTCACCGCTTCAGCACATTTGCAAATGGTCGTGACCGTAATTTGGAAGCGATGGCACTTAACACACACACACTATGGACACCACGTGGCTTTGGCTCAGTCACTGCTTCAGCACATTTGCAAATGGTCGTGACCGTTGTCTGTCCATGGAGGGAATGAAGACTCGTGACGGCTGTCCTTAGGATCCTGGCAAGATGGCTGTCCTGTCAGACAGGTCCTCTCTAGCAGAAGCTGAGCAGGGTGCTCTGTTCCGCCAGCAGCAGCACGCCAACCCAGTTACGAAGCTGAGACGATTATGGGGGTCTGAAGGCAGGAACCCAGCCCTCTCCATGGCATTTGGCTCACTCTGCCTACTGGAAGTTTATGAAAGAGGAGCTACATGCACCAGCAGCTGTTAAGTATAGTATTTTAGTAAACTGTATGCACCTGAAGAAAAGATTGTTGTTGTTCAGTCGCAAAGTCGAGTCCGACTCTTCGCGACCCCATGGACCAGATCATGCCAGGCCTTCCGGTCTTCCGCCGTCCTCTGAAGTTTGCTCAACTTCATGTTCATTGCATCTATGACACTGTCTAACCATCTCATCCTTTGCCGTCCCGGTCTTCTTCGACCTTCAATCTTTCCCAGCATCAAGGTCTTCTCCAGTGAGTGCTCCCTTCTCATTGGGTGGCCAAAGTATTTGAGCTTCAGTTTCATTATCTGGCCTTCCAGGGAACAGTCAGGGTTGATTTCTTTTAGGATCGACTGATTTGATCTCCTTGCAGTCAAGGGACTCTCAAGAGTCTTCTCCAGAAAAGATAGTTTCAGCTCAAAATGCTCTTTTTTTTGGGGGGGGGGGATCCAAAATAAACGAAAAATTCCAAAATAAACGAAAAACCCCTAAATTCCATGATAAGAAGACCCTTAGATAAAAGACATGTGTGCATTTGCTTGTTGTGATGCTAAGTTGCACGGTGTGATGTCAACCAATGGATCCTTACTTCAGAAGATCAACAAAAACATCCAAAGAACACAAACCCCTGCTTGCGTGGAGGGCGAGGTATAAATTGAATTAAATAAACAAATAATAAAAACACAGATCACTATTTTAAGTTGATTTTTAATATCAGTGACAACCTTTACAATACGCCCGTTGCCTGCAAAAGATTTTGTTGTTGTCGTCGTTGGAGGGGGGAGGGGGGGGAGACACTGCCGGGAATGGGAAATGTGCGGCAGCATTACTCAGCGGGAAGTCTATCAACAAACCGTGAGCTCTTAGGGCGCCCCGATGCCGGCACGCCCCCCCCACACATGCCCCCCACGTTTTTCGCCAGGAGCCCTCTTTCTGAGGCCAGGCCTTAGGGTGGGCTTCCGTGCCTTACCGTGAGATCCGTGGATGGCTGCCTCCTGCTTCGCCTCCGAGTCGGAATCCACAGTGAGAGAAACATGGCCAGAAAAGCCACATGCTTTACGAGCAAGTTGTTTTCAAAGTATAATCAGGTCCGCAGCCAGGGAAGCCGACTCTGGGATGGGAAATCCCTGGAGATCTGGGGGGTGGAGCCTGAGGAGGGGGCGGAGTCTGGGGAAAGGAGGGGCCTCAGCAGAATCTAATGCCACAGGAGCTGCCATTCCCCCCCCCCAAGGGGAACTGGCCTTTATAATCTGGAGATCATTTTATAATTCCAGGAGAACTCCGGGCCCCGGGGAGAAGTTGGCCACACGAGCCACGGCATTTTGGCACCTGAGGTGGGCTATCCAAACTCACACTTCCCCATTCACTGACACAGGGTCGCAGTCTTCCGGGAAGGTCTCTTGAGTCAGCAGCACTGAAACTGTCCAGGAGTAAAGCATGATGTGAAAAAGTTCCCAGTGGATTGTCCTCCATGAGCCCACCATTCACAACGTCAGAATCTGCCTCTTTAGGTAGCCTCCTCACTTGGCGTCACGGGTGGGTCTCCTCCGGTACGATGAAACAGAAGCACAGATGTGTGTGTGTGTGTGTATATATATATATATATGTTTCAAAAGGCCCCATGCTACTCCTGTTTTACATTTACATTTTGGTGGTGCCTGCGAATTTGAGCCCTGGGTGTGCTCTGAGCTGGCTGTGTTGTCATTCCACGATCCCAAAAGCATGGAAGGAGCTGGCCCTCTTATGCAGCAAACAGCGACCCCTCCCAGTATCGATCTTGCCCGTTCTGATGTCCCTCATCTTTTGACAGATGAGTCCCATGTTCAAGGGAATACGGCCGGCGGAGTACAGACGCAGCGCCGCTCAGACTTCAAGCGTGCTGAAAACAGACGCTTGTTCTGAAGACAGCACTGAATGGCTAGAAAGAACCTGGATTTCTTGGCTTCGTACAACAGCGGGATTGCCCCGTTCAAATTCGACAGGAAGCGCTGGAAAAGGTGCACGGCTTTCTCCTCCGGGATCCAGACGTTATGACGTTGCATCAGCCCTTTTCACCGCCAAAAACAGTGAAACGTCATGCCCCTCCCCCCTGTGGCTTTCTGGTGCTGTCCATTTCCTCGACGTTCATAAGTGATTGTTTTTAGACAGGTAAGCTATGAGGGCTACGGCAACCCCGACGTAGATGCCGGTCCCAATCGTGATGGACAGGACGGCCAAGAAGAGAGCCCGCCGTGAACTGGAGCTGGCTTGGTGGAAGTCTCCTTTAGCAATGGCTTTGTTTGTCTGCAAGGAGAAAGGGAAAAGGGAACACGCTCTTTAGTGAAACTGGATATGGTAAGAGTGCTCTTGAACTCTGGGGAATTTCACATTACCTAGTTTCTCCCGGTTTCAAGCCAGGAGTCTTCCGTTATGAGTTGAACCGGTACAGGGCTGCCGTTTCACACACGGCTTGCCCCTACCGGAAAGGAACCAGATAAGAAGCGGTTTGGCGTTTCACACACGCACCGCTTTGTTTTCCCGCCGTTTTCTTCCCGCGCGGGTGAGTGATTTTTTTTTTTTAAGGTTCGGCTTATATCGATATATTGATATATCGCTATACCAGAACCTCAAATGGTCGCAATAATGATCCCATTGGAATGCGACTCCTTAAAGGTTCCGGTATAGCGATATATCGATATATCGCTATAAGCCGAACGTTCAAAAAAACAAAAAAAAGCCCGCACGGGCGAAAAAAGGCGGGAAACAAGCGTATCGGAACCGGGAGAGGGAACGGGAGACTCCTCGGAAGCGGTTGACAGGTAAATCGCTTCCCTCTTGGTTCCTAACCGGAAGAGAGGCTTCTGTGTCTGAAAGTGCACTTAGATCCCGGTAGGGAACCGATTCCTAACCGGGTTCTATCTGAAATGACAGACCAGAACCCGGTTGAGAATCGGTTCCCTACCGGGACATAGCGCCTGTCTGAAATTCCCCTCTGTTATTAAAGAGAAAAAGAGATAAAAATGATATAGAGCTGCCAGGGTGGGAACTTTCAAAAACTTGATTGCGTCAAAGCCACCCATCTCTATACAGGAGGACACGGAACAGTGTCATTACAGAAGAAGCAGACCACCCCTGAATTAACATGAACTCATGCTTTGCCACCTGGTATCCATTTCTTGGGTATGCAGATGGATCGTGTTCGGCTGCAGCCCCACTTGACAAGTATCAACCAATGTTGATGCTGATTTTTAAAAATAATTAATACTGCGTTGTGGTACTTCTTGAAAATGAATAAAATTCAAGAAAAAAAATACTTGTTGGAAATTGTAACACTACGGTCGGGGAGTCAACATCTCCTGGAAATTCCAGGCCCCAGGGATATTAAATTTGCTGTTACTAGAGCCAGGGCATTTTCGGTGGTGGCTCCTACCTGGTGGAAGGAGCTCCCGGAGGAGATCCGGGCCCTGCGGGACCTTTCTCAGTTCCGCAGGGCCTGTAAGATGGAGCTCTTCCGCCAGGCTTTTGAGTAGGAGCCGCCGCCACTTCAATTCCACCACCGATATGTATGCAGCATCGCACCACTACCACTAATACGTGGTTCCATCTGGGTGCGAGGTGACCCTGGAAGGAGAGGGTGCTGACAAGTTGTGGGACCAATACCATTTGAGGAAGTTCTACCCCATCTTGCACTGACAAGTCACTGAGGGAAAATAGAAAGACTGTCTTCAGCTTGCCTCACAGTGAGGCATTTGGTTAGAACTTTCATTTGGTCCCCCACCCCCGGAAAATATCCCTAGGCTTTGGTCACACACACTAAATAATCCACTTTCAATCCACGTTCCAACTGGATCTTGCCAGTTTACACAGTAAAAATCCAGCTGGAAAGTGCGCTGGAAGTGGATTGAAAGTGGATTATTTAGCATGTGTGTGAGTCCAGGGCTATTTTTGGGCAGGAACGCACAGGAACGGAGTTCCGGCTGGCTCCCAAGTTGGCCACGCCCAGCAGGAACTCATTACCATAATAGGCCACACCCAACAGCAGAAACGCATTAGGATTGGCTACATTAGGGGTGTGTGGCCCAACATGCAAAGGAGTTCCTGCTACAAAAAAAGGCCCTGGGTTTTGACCACAAACAAGGTAAACAGAATAACAAGCAAAAGGTGGACGTGGCTGGATAACCACACTTCTGGTAACATGGGGGTTTGGCCTAATGTGCTAATGAAATGTGCTGTCAGGGGTGTGGCCCAATAGGCTAATGAGTTCCTGCTGGGCTTTATCTACAAAAAGAGCCCTGTGTGTGACCGCAGCCCTAGAGATTCCCCCACATTGGGATGATGGACAGAGAGGAAGCTCATAGAGGGCTTTTCCTGTGCATCAGACTGACTCCTGATTTTCTTGACAGTTGACCCACAAGCGCTGGAATGGGTATGAGCACAGCTCGTCCACATGTTTGCCCTCCCTCCGCATTCACACAGTTTGTGGAATCAATTTATGTTCTTTTGCACATCACTTAAATAGTCAGGGTTTCCAAGGGAGAGTGCTGTGGTCAACGGTGACCTCCCCTTTATCTCTTGTGCATGCTTGTACCAATATAGCAATATCATGGCTGCATTTAATTAAAGATGACACTAAAGTATCAATGTATCAATGTACAATTGTAATGATAGTTTAAGCAGGTTCTCTGAATTTCAGTTAGTCTCTAGCCCTTCCCCTTGCCAAGATATAACAAAAAAAGGCATATCTTCACAAAGGAAGGGTATACTTACTTACTTTAAAAAAAAGAAAAGAAAGGAAGCTGGGAATTCAGAGAACATGACTGACCTGTCATTACAACAGTATATTAATACATCGATATTTTAAGGTAAAGGTTTCCCTTGCTCGAAAGCTCTAGGGGGCGGTGCTCATCTCCGTTTCCAAGCCGAAGAGCCAGCGCTGTCTGAAGACATTTCCATGGTCATGTGGCCAGCATGACTAAATGCCGAAATGCGCGGAATACCGAAGCGGTACCTATTAATCTACTTACAATTTCTTGCTTTTGAATTGCTATGTTGTCAGGAGCTGGGGCCAGAGACAGGAGCTCACTCCGTCACGTGAAACTAGGGTCTTGAACTACTGAACTACAGGCCTTCCGGTCTGCAGTTCAGCGTCTTAACCTCTGAGGCACCGCCACCTCTTGCTTAATGGACTTGGCCTTTATTTCTTGCACCTGTCAGGATCTCACCCATCTGGCCGCCCTGGCTGTCGCTCTCTCTGGCGAACCCAAACTCTGGGGTACAACTGTACAGTTACATTGCCAAGTTCAGTTGCTCTAAGACTCCAGAAAAGGTGAGAAGGATACTCTGGCCTCCGTCAATGGCCAGTGGAATAATGGCTGCAGGATAGTTTCCTTGGGTTAAGCTGACCAAGTATATTATAAAAGTACAAAATTTATTAGGGTGTACACATATTAAAATATATTTGGGTTAATTTTTTTCCCCAAGTATCAAACTAATAAAAGCATATCAAATATTAATACACATGATGGGTCAACACTTTCCAACTGAAGACCAAACGCGTTTTGGCCTCAAAGGGCCTTCCTTAGTGGTCACTATTACAACATAGTATAGACACATATTCAAACATATGTATACAAGATCTTTAGTACACTTATATAAAGACCAGAATCCTTACCTTGATGGAGTGACACACATTCAGACTTTTGAAATCTCAGTTACCAGAATAATTGGAATGAATATGGCTATACCTATGGCCCATCATTAATACCAGCAACACAATTACAAACATATAAGGATACAACATCTGGCAGTTCGAAAGCAAGAAATGGCAAGTAGATAAATAGGTACCACTTCAGTGGGAAGGGAACAGCGTTCCGTGCGCCTTGGCGTTTAGTCATGCCGGCCACATGACCCCGGAAACGTCTTCGGACAGCGCTGGCTCTTCGGCTTGAAAACGGAGATGAGCACCGCAACCCTAGAGTCGGATTCGACTGGCTTTCGAGCAAGGGAACCTTTACCTTTACTAAAGAGATGTGACTTTATGGGCAGCACCTGACAGATTGCAACCTGACGAAGCTGAGGGAAACAAGCACCAACCGGGGTCCGTGGTTGCGGGAGGGCAGGAAGGGATGAGCCAGTGCTTGGCTCTCGTGGCCCTTTCTTACACGCCCGGGATAGTGATGAGTCACGAGTAGGGCACCGTGAGAATACTGAGTGTTGTGAAGGCACAACCCACTCTGAAAATGATTTTTTGAGTCGAATATGCCGAGACTGTTTTTCAGTGATATCCTTCAAGCTATTGGTTCCAACTTGACAAAGCCATATTGGTGAAACGTGGAGCATACTGAGGAAGCCGGCAATCCCATAGTTCTTCTTTTGGAACCGTTCAAGTGCTCCTCTTTTGGAACTGTTGGAGCCGATATCTTCTGGAAGCTTACTTTCCCCCTTTACACTCTGAAGCACACACTGCTCATCAGGAGGGACCGAGCCCTTCGAAGGGGTTTGGACTTTGTGAGCCGTAGAGAGGACTTTTGTTATATCATTTATGCCCTGATTATGAATTGTTATTGTATGAATAATTTTGCTTAGGATTTGGAAATTGTATAAATGCTTTATTTATTTGTCTATACAGGAATTATTTATCATTGTTTCTTCTTAATTATTGATTTTTGAAATTGGCATTGACGCCACGCCCAGTGGATTCTGCGAATTTAGGCAGGTCGTGAGCGGGAGGGGAGGAAGGGGTGAGCCAGTGGTCGGTCCTCGTGGCCCTTTCTTACACGCCCAGGGTAATGCCGATCACCACTTTGGGGTTAGGAAGGAATTTTCCTCCAGGCCTGCCTGTCCCAGGGATCCTGGAGGTTTTTCGCCTTCCTCTGGGCATAGAGCAGGGGTCAGTGGAGGAGTGGGGGGGGGGTAGTTGTGAATTTCCTGTGTTGTGCAGGGGGTTGGCCCTTGAGGTCCCTTCAGCTGTTTCTATACCCAACTAATTTTTTTTAAATTTACTTTTAAATCCACAGCTGGATTTTATTTATTTTTATTTATTGTTTTTAAAGTAGGAAAAATTCCGACTAAAAAAATACCACCACCCCCCCGGTGGCAGGTGGCCCTCCCGTCCTAAGTGCTCCCGTTCCATCTGCATTTGCCTGGCGATGGGGAGGCCGGCAGCCGCCCTCTCCTGACTACCTCCCGGTACAGAGTCCTTTTCTCCCATCAACCCTCCCTGGCTGTATCGAAAAGCGCCACTGCAATTACTACGAGTGCTAACACTTCCCTTGCTAAAAAAAAAAAATTCCCTCGCCAGCCTGCGGTTGGCATCGAGATGACGGATGAGCCAATTTAGCACTGTCTTCAGGCCGAAACGTTTCCTGTAGTGGCCCGAGAGCTTTCAATAAGTAAAGGCAAGGCAGGCAAGGCACGCCGGCAGAATTTTAAGCCGGGGCCTGTCCATCACAAGCCGCACACGGGGCAAGTCTGCGTGTTCGACAGCAGGCGGCATGAAAGATAACGTCGCGCGCTCCCTTGCTAAGGTCTGAGACCCCTCCGCTTGATCATCCTTAAATGTCTTCAGGATTCTCGTGAATTTTCCGGAGGAAGCCTCCTCCACTCGGTGGACTTTTCTTGCCAGGGAGGCGCCTGTCACAGGAGAACCGGCAAGGACAGCAGACCTGACGGTCTTTCAGAGCCATCGGTGACACTGACGGGACTGTCCGTGCTTGATGCTTCCTTGGATGAGGGGCATATTTTGAAGCGGGCACCTTGCCATGAAAGAAAGCTCATTTTAAACTGCTCGGCACTGTGATTATAAAATCGACACTGGAAAAAAACGTCCATTTGAGTGCTTTCCTCTCCTTTACTTTTTCTGCAGGGTCTGAGGTGGGCTTGAGACAGCAGCTGTGGGGAAGCCTACCTAAGGGACCGCCTTGCCCCACATGCTCCCCCAAGGGCACTACGGTCGGGGAACCAACATCTACTGGATGTTCCAGGTCCCCGGTCTATCAGACTTACCATGACCAGGAATAGGGCGTTCTCGGTGGCGGCTCCTATCTGGTGGAACGAGCTCCCAGAGGAGATCAGGGCTCTGCGGGACCTAGCACAGTTCCGCAGGGCCTGCAAGACGGAGCTCTTCTGCCAGGCTTTTGAATAGGAGCCGCCACCACTAGTGCACCACTAACACACTTGTTTACCATCTACGCCCCATATATGGACATCAGGATGGGGGCATGTACCATCAACGCCCCACAATCGTTTAGGGGGCGGCCATCTTGTTTTTAGAAATTGTAATTTGGAAATTGGAAATTAGCTGAGAGGAGCGCCAAAATTGTTTTAATGGTGATGTATCTTTAATATTTTGTACTGTTTTACTGTTTTATTCGACGATACGCCCTGTTAGCCGCCCTGAGCCCCCGGGGAGGGCGGGATAGAAATGTGAATAATAAATAATAAATAAAAATAAAGAACAGCCCCACGAGGCTTGGAATGATGCTGTGGGGGGAAGAAGGGCTCCTGCCTCCCCCCCCCCAACTGTTTTCCTATGAAGACATTGTGCTGGAGGAGTCATTTCCCTGTTTTTGTGCCTCGGCGTTTAGTCATGCCGGCCACATGACCATGGAAACGTCTTCGGACAGCGCTGGTTCTTTGGCTTGGAAACGGAGATGAGCACCGCCCCCTAGAGTCGGATAGGACTAGCTTTTGAGCAAGGGAAGCCTCTACCTTTACCTTTAATAGAGTTACACTGCAAAAAAGGGTTCCACAAACTTGCCTGGATAAGTGATTAGGGACTGTGGTCTGTACTGCTGCGTATAGCCTACTGTAGGCAGGATCCTATTTACATCATTTCCGTACCTCTTAATGTGCCGTGTGAGTACTTAGGCTACGCTTCGTTTCCTTCTGGTGGTTCCCGGCTTCTGAAATCCGAAAGCACTGGTTAGGGAGTGCCCGGTTTGCCAACCGCACTGGCTCACCCTTGCGTGATCCACCCTGTGTCCCTTTGAGAACGGTGGAGTATAAAAAGGTAAAGGTTCCCTTGCTCGAAAGCCAGTCCAGTCCGACTCTAGGGTTGCGGTGCTCATCTCCGTTTCCAAGCTGAAGAGCCAGCGCTGTCCGAAGATGTTTCCGTGGTCATGTGGCCGGCATGACTAGACGCCAAGGCGCACGGAACGCTGTTACCTTCCCACCAAAGTGGTCCCTATTTATCTACTTGCAATTTCTTGCTTTCGAACTGCTAGGTTGGCAGGAGCTGGAACTAGAGACGGGAGCTCACTCCGTCATGCGGCACACCTGGGTCTCGAACTGCTGAACTACTGACCTTTCACAGCCTGCAGTTCAGCGTCTTAACCACTTGAGCCACCGCAGCTCCTTATAAATATAGTATAAATAAATGTAAACAAAATAAGATTAAAAAATAAAAAACGGAATGCTGCGTTTCTGCACGCCTTGCGAAATGCGATCTCAAAATCCCCCCCCCAGTACCTCGTGTGACAAATAGAAGGCAGCGATGCCCAATGGCCAGAAGCAGCACAGCATGGAGAAGACACTGAGGCCAAGGTGGTCCCTGGGGGGCATCATGAGGAAGTGGTCTTCGCTGTCGGTGTCGCTCGAGTAATCGCTCTGGAATAGCAAGAGGGAGGGCGCACAGAGGAGGGTGCGGGTTAGCCAGGCGCTGACAACCAAGGTTCCCTCTAAGCTGTGGAGTCCTGCGAGCAAAAATTCAGCTTTGTGAGCTGCTGGCATTCAAGTTGTGTGCGAGCGATTGGGCTGCTGCATGAATTAGTTTGCCCTGGAGCCGTCCCTTCCTGAGCTAAGACAAAAATGTGTGAGCCGGAGGCTAAAAAACTGTGAGCTAGCTCACACTAACTCGGCTTAGAGGGAACACTGCTGACAAACCCCCCGTGGCTGGCCACGCGCTGAAGCTGTCAGAGCCTGGGATGCACTTTCCACTTTTCTGTAAAGCTGCACGAAATGCCCCACAACGAGAGTTAAACAACCGAGGCCCTGGACAATCGTTAAGAAGAAGAAGAAGGAGAGAAGAGATTGGATTTATACCCCGCCCTTCACTACCCAAGGGAGTCTCAGAGCAGCTTAAGAACATAAGAACATAAGAGACATCTCAGTCTCAGGACCCTCCCTCCCCTTGCCGTATTCTCGTTGTGACGTGGGATTTCCATAAATCAGCATTTTTAAATTATTCAAGACTAGTTGATTAATAAGCAATAAAAAGCCCAAAGGCATGCTAATTTATTCATGATCATTTGAAACGGCAGGAAGTATCCGACACTACGGTTTTGGAATGAACATAAATAGTTTAGCCTGAAAATGTGAAGCAGAGATTCACCTATTGATTCCAGGGCTTGTGCTGGCACGTGCATGAGAATTTCGGTTTCTTGGAGGTTTGGTAATGCTTTGAGTTTCGGGCTTCCCCTCCCCTTTGATCCACATCCTTGCCTAACTGGTGAGCCTCTTTAAATGTTTATGGGTTAGAACCCATGGATCAGTTCTGCTCAAGGAGTCACTTCCCTCTGGCAGATGCTATTATGTCAGGGGAAGTCTCCTTTCACTGGAGGAAGGCACCTCCACTAGTACAGGGGTTTCAAACTCATTTGTTACGAGGGCCGGATCTGACACAAATGTCATTTTGTTGGGCCAGGTCATGGGTACCATTTAATCTAATGCAGTATACTGGAGATATCTCTCCTTATATATAAAAGAGTTTTCATGTCCCTCTTGCCTCAAAGTTCCACAGCCTTTGGGTCCCTCAACTGCCAGTCAGAAAGGGGTCCCTGGCCACTGGCTGCATTGCCTTCGTCCCACCCACAGAAGCGCTGCCCAGCCTCTCGGCCAGTGTGCTGAGAGCCGATGGATGGGCAGGACATTCCAGTGGGCGGAAGGTCCAGAGGCCGAGGGTGTGGAGGGGGGGCTGTGAAAAGATGGGGGAGGACAGTAAAAGTATGTCTTCATTACAGATTGATACCAGTTGTATGCCACTTTGACATGGCTTCCCTAACCCAAACCCAAGTACTTTAAAATAGCTAAGGATTCTTTTAGAGATTTCTACATAACCCCCCAAGCAACAGGCTGGAGGAAACCAGCTTTTCCACGAGTGAAAAAAGGAGGGGGCCCCTCTGACCCCCGAGGAAAGGCTGCGGATCGTGGGTTTTGTGGGGACAAATGCCATGTGGGAGGGGGGCTGCAGTAGAGAGGGGGAAATGGGTGAGACTGAGTGGAAAGGCCAGCTGGATCCAAGCCTACCATTCCTAGAGTGCCCCTTGGCAAAACCATGACTTACTTAAAGAAAGCCTTGCAGAGTAGATATGCCCTGACAAAGACAGAGGAAGAAAACCCCAAAGAGATAGGAAAGAGAGAAACTGAAAGCATGCTACAGGTTGACAAAGTGAGTCCCTAGTTTGGAACAAATTTAGAGTCCAGTCAGGCACCTTGAAGACCAACAAAGGTTTATCCATGGTACGAGCTTTTGTGTGCAAGACACATTTTTGCAAATACACTGGAATGGTAGATGAGGTTCTAAACGTATAGGCAGGGATTTATCATCAAATTGACATGTAACATGATGATTTTTTAAGTTATGCAATAATAAAACCTTTGTTGGTCTTCAAGACTGGACTCTAAATTTGTTCTACTGTTTCAAACCAACACGGCTGACCACCTGGATCAATCCCTAGTTTGGAAACGCCATGAACTGGATAGCCCAGGCTAACCCAATCTCGCCAGAATCTGGAAGCTAAGCAGGGTCAGCACCAGCTAGTATTTCGATGGGAGACCTCCAGGGGTCATTTCCTTCAGGAGCGCACAGGAGCGGAGCTCCGGCAGTAAAGAGCCCAGGGGGTGGGCACATGCAACAAGCCCCGCCCCCTGCTCCCAGCAGCCCTCAGTTAGAGCAAGAAGCAGCCAGGTAAGTTGCAGAGCCCACCCCCCAGTCCAAAACAGTCCTGTGGCACCTTTAAGACCAAGTTTTATTCAGGTACAAGCTCTCCCTCATCTGCGAGGACAGATCTGCACGTCCCCCCCTCCCCAATAGCTAGCAATCCAAAACAGTCCAGTGGAGCCTGAGTGGTGGGTGTTGCCTTCTGACACACTTCCGGTGATGTCAGGGGGTGTGGCGCATGCAAATAAGTTATGCTATTTAGTTATGCTAATGAGCTCCTGCACCTCTTTTTCTACTAAATGACCCCTGGCTGTGTGTCCTCCCACGCCTCTCGGTCATGTCTGAAGCCTTTCTTTGGTCCCAGTCCACTGAACAGAATGGGAGGATAAAAGCACATGCATTTGCCCACACAAGGCAGAAAACGGCTTCAGTGGCGTTGTGTTCATTTGGATCACAAAGCAGTGTGAAGGAGCCGGTCATCGCCTCCTTCCCATTGGCCCCATCTAAGCCACATGCAGGGAGCAGCTGCCCTTAAACAAACACTGGAAAGCGGAGTCCAGAACTCCAGCTGTCTTGCCTTGTTGAGACATCCAAACACAGCCCCCGCCCAACCCAAACAGCTGCTGTCCAGATCGGACCCGTTTCTTGCCTCCCCACTGCCATGACAAACATTTGTACTAAAAAGCCTTTGGAAAGTCACAGCGTCGGTCTGACAGTCAACGTGCACACAGCTCCAAAGATAAGGTGCCCTCCCTTAGGTAAAGGTAAAGGTTCCCTTGCTCGAAAGCCAGTCGAGTCCGACTCTAGGGTTGCAGTGCTCATCTCCGTTTCAAAGCCGAAGAGCCAGCGCTGTCCGAAGACGTTTCCGTGGTCATGTGGCCGGCATGACTAAACAACAAGGCGCACAGAACGCTGTTCCCTTCCCACTGAAGTGGTACCTATTTACCTACTTGCAATGTCTTGCTTTCAAGCTGCTAGGTTGGCAGGAGCTGGAACGAGAGACGGGAGCTCACTCCGTCATGCGGCACACCCGGGTCTCGAACTGCTGAACTACTGACCCTCCACAGCCTGCAGTTCAGCGTCTTAACCACTTCAGCCACCGCAGGCACCCTCCCTTAGTGCGTTTAAATTCCTATTTCCCAGGAGAAGACCAAACTCTCCAAAATCCTCAGGGTCCCAGACTGCAGAGGCTGCTGCTATCGCCAGAAAAACAAAGACTCTACTCACGAGGAGCAATTGAAGATTATCCCCGGGACATTAGGAATAAGCACACCAAGGAAAAGGGTTGCCAGCTCCAGGTTGGGAAATAGCTGGGGATTGTGGGGGTGGAGCTTGAGGAGGGGCCCAGGGCTTGGGGAGGGGAGGGATGTCAGTGTGGCCTAATGCCACAGAATCCTCCTTCCAAAGCAGCCATTTTCTCCAGGCGGACTGGCCGTTGCTGCCTGGAGATTAGTTGTGGAAAAGAGCGAGAGTCCAGCGGCACCTCAAAGACTTAACATTTTGCGAGGAAGCTCCTCCCCAGCCACAAATTATTTGTTAAGTCTTTAAGGCGCTCCTGGACTCTCGCTCTTTTCTGCTGCTGCAGACAGACTAACACGGCTGCCCATCTTGATCTCCAGGTTGTAAACCAGAGTTCCCTCTAAGCTGAGTTAGTGTGAGCTAGGTTGCAGTTTTTTTAGCCTCCGGCTCACACATTTTTGTCTTGGCTCAGGAAGGGAGGGCTCCAGAGCAAACTGATTTATGCAGTGACCAAATGGCTCGCTCACCACTCTAATGCCAGCAGCTCACAGAGTAGAATTTTTGCTCACAGGACTCCACAGCTTAGAGGGAGCATTGGTTGTAATCCCAGGAGATCTCCAGCCGCCACCTGCAGGCTGGCAACCCTAACCGAGGAGCTGTCGGGTGGGTAGCCGTGTCGGACTGAAGTCCAGGGGCACCTTAAAGACCCACGAAGTTCTATTCTGGGGGTAAGTTTCCGTGTGCACGCATACCCAGAACAAAACTCTGTTGGTCTTCGGGGTGCCCCTGGACTCCCACTTTGTCCAAGGAGCTTTGGACGCTGGCGTGAAGCAAAAGGTCAAGAGGGGAAATCCAAATCAGGGGGATGCTACTCTGTGTTGCCAGAGGCGCTGCCTTTTACTCTTGGGTAGCCCCAATGGCCTGGATGAATCACAAGCAGGAATTAAGATCGCTGGGGAAAAGATCAACAACCTCAGATATGCAGACGATACTGCTCTGATGGCAGAAAGTGAAGAGGACCTTAAGAGCCTCTTGCTCAGGGTAAAAGAGGAGAGCGCAAAAGTGGGCTTGAAGCTCAACATAAAAAAAAAACTAAGATCATGGCATCCGGCCCCATCACTCCTTGGCAAATAGAAGGGGAAGTCGTGGAAGTAGTGACAGACTTCACAATCCTGGGAGCCCAGATCACCACAGACTGTGACAGCAGCCATGAAATTAAAAGATGCCTGCTCCTTGGGAGGAAAGCGATGGCGAACCTAAACGGCATGATAAAAAGTAGAGACATCACCCTGCCCACAAAAGTCCGCGTGGTCAAAGCAATGGTATTCCCAGTAGTCATGTATGGCTGCGAGAGTCAGACTATAAGGAAGGCCGAGCGCCGAAGAATAGATTCTTTTGAACTATG